AAAAAAAAAAAAAAAAAAAAAAAAAAAAAAAAAAAAAAAAATATATATATATATATATATATATATATATCGAAACTGGGAGAATAGACCCGAAAAAACCCGGTCCACCGTTAAAGGTTTTATGATTAACGACAAGGATTAGATTGAAGCAATTACATGTCGGCCAAAGTTGTACTTATCTTTTAAGGAAAAATGAGCAGTGGAGGCCGTGCCCCGACGACACAGTTGCGGCCAAATAATACACTTTTATTGCGTGCTGCCAATGCACACCCCTCAATCAGAACATAATTCACACACACATATTTGAATGTGCTGCCCTTCACGTGCAGATTTTTTTTTCAGATCCCTTACAGAATGGAAAAAGCCCAGTGTACAGGGCTTTTTCCTACAGGTTTTATACAGGGTTCTCACTGTAGCGAGGGCCCCACATGTATAAAAAAAAAAATTAACGCGAGTCCCACCAATGTGAGTACCTGTAAAATATCTGACAAAAAAGGCCCTGTACATGTAGGGTGGTCCTTACAGAATACACATAGCATTGGACGGGTGGGTTATTTTTCAAATTATTTTACTCACATAGGGCTATCTGAAATTCTTTTGTCAAGAAAAATTCTGTATTTTCCTGTTTGAATTGAAATTTATTGCCAAAATTTACTATTCTCCAATAAATTATTGACACATAATCTTACATTAAAATATCTTCTAATTTTAAAGACAATTAATTGATGAGGAAAATTGAATATATTATATATTTATATAAAATAATATTTTAATCATTTATTGGGTGAACAGCATATTAAAACAAAAAAAAAAATGTAAATTTTGCACTGCAGATTTCAACCCTACACATCCCTCTCGCTTGCTCTCTTCTATGTGCATCCATTTATTCATACACTACTATTCTAGGGAAATGCTATTCTTTTTGTCAACATCATTGTTCATATTATCCAACTTGTCAACAAATGATTGAATCAAAAAATTTGGTTTTTTTTAACTGTTCAATAATTTCTTACTGTGTGGCACAGTGTAAAACTTAGTGTACAAATGTAAACCATGCATGATTGATTTTTCTATTATATATAGGACAGAAGCTCCGAAACTCAGCGGTTTCTGAGAGAGAGAGAGAGAGAGAGATTCCTCTCAAAATTTTGGGTTCTTGTTGTAGGTTTCAAAAAGTTCATCTTTTTTTTGATATTTAGATTAGATCAAGAATTCCTCAGTAAAGATTTTGAGGTCAACGATACGAGTTTATATGAAGATGGAAGTAGGGGCTTACTGCACAGAGAAAAGAAAGCAAAGACTGTCCCAACAAGACAAACCTTACAGAGGAATCCGCATGAGGAAGTGGGGAAAGTGGGTTGCAGAAATAAGAGAGCCCAACAAAAGGTCAAGAATTTGGCTTGGCTCTTATTCTTCGCCGGTCGCCGCCGCCCGTGCCTACGACACAGCGGTGTTCTACCTCAGAGGCCCTTCTGCTCGGCTCAACTTCCCTGAATGTTTAGCCGAAGATGAAGGGTGCCACGAATTATCGGCGGCGGATATAAGGAAAAAAGCCACCGAGGTTGGTGCTAGAGTGGATGCGTTGCAGAGTACGCTCCATGCACCGACTGAATCCACCACGTCAATTCGAGTTGACTTGAATCAGTACCCGAGTCCGGAGGCTCCAGATGATATTTAAATTTATGGGTTTTTTGTTTATTAATTAAAGATTATCCTTTTCTTCTGGGATTAAAAGTTGGAGTTGAAGTTGATAAGAGTAATTGTATAGGGTTTGATTTTCTTATGATTATAGATATGTAATCCGAAGGGATTCGTATGTTTATAGAGGATTAACAAGCCAAAATTTATTTATTTCACCATTTTCGATTTTCTTATTAATGTTTTGTGACTAATTATTTTTCCCTTTTATGAATATTGAATCCTTTAAATATTACAATTTTATTTAAAGATGGGGGAGATAAGGTGGAGAGTTTGGTGCGGAAATGAGGACCATAGTGTTCCAAATTAACATGTTAAGTGGTCCTCAATCATTGTGGTGAGATGATGGTAGCTTTGGAAAGGTGGCTGGCTTGTGAAGGATTGGGACATGGGCGGTGGCTATTTTTCCACCCATATAAATACATCAAATCGTACTGCCTTAAATGGCTTGACACATGAAAGGCACTATCACGTCGATGGCTCTAATAAATCACTTTGTGGATGAACTCAATTCTAACGCAAGTGGATAAGTATGTGATAGGAACGCTTGATCTTAATGAGAACCTTACTATTCAAACAGGGGTTGAGACAGGTCCCCCGTGATAAGTACGTTTGATCCTAACGAGAACCCTGTTATTCAAACAGTGGTTGGGACAGATCTCCTGTGATAGAGTCTTAATTTGAAATTTCAAAATTTCAAATCAAGGGTAGAGGCGATACTGTCTCATCTTAGCTCGTCACAGGGTTTGACAAAAGACTCTGTTTGAGTAACATAATACTCCTAACAAATTGTGTCATGGACTAATCTATTTGTAATATAAGTAGTGCGTTGACAACATCTATGTGTATATTTTATATTATTTTACTCAACACTCAATGAAATATTGCCAAGTGAATCGCTGTAAACCAATCTAATAAAATACCGTGTACGCATAGCACGGATGGGAGAATGAACGATAACAACAAAATGAAATTCTCGTGTCGTTGTTTACAAACTAATAACGGATACGATTATTAAGTCATTAAATAGATGTAGGGGCAGATAGAAGGAGGACAATCATAAACTTTAGTCAAATTTTGCTTAAGTCCATTTAATTTTTATAACTATGTACTTTCTTTTACGTACCAGATCCGTGCAGGTTTTTTTCTTTTTCTTCCCCGACTCCATCCCCATATAGAAAACATAGTTTCCTTATGGATTGTTCTTTTTCCCATGTTTCTTTCATGAACTTTGCTATTTCTACATTAAAAATCGTTTGAAATTTAAACTGTTCAATGATATAGGGAAATGCTACATGTATATAATTGTCTACATAATGATATCTATAATTACATGTGACACTGGATCCAACTTTTAATTCAAATCTTACACTTGCACATCAACAACCGGATGATTGCCACATTACATTATGGACACCATTATGTGCAATAATTATGTACAAGTAGTATTTTTCAATAATATAATGTCACGTGATAAAGTGTACACAGAACGTACGTTCTTCTTTCATATCATTTACAATCATAGCCTCTGTTTGGTTTCCATTCTTTTCTCATTAAAATGAAAAATATGACGTTATCCATCATATCAAACCATCAAATTTGAATTTCTATCTCTTGTATGGGTCCGTAACGACTATATTTTTCATTCTCATTCTTCTAAAAATGAGAAAAAAACTGGGACATACTACTTGTACAATGCATTTTACAACTTGGTTTACAATGCAAGACTTGACAAACATTACATCCATCTATTTGAAAAAACTATTTTTAAAATCAATGATCAGAATTTTTCCAAGACACATGTTGTTAATCAAATTGTACAAATATATTGTACAAGTGACTTTATTCTAAATATGCGATTGCCCGGCTGTACTGCATTCGAGCGCATGCTTCACAAACTTGTACGATCTAAGGCAGTTGTACCACAAAATTATTTAATAATGAGCATAAAAAAAATACAGCACATATACCTAACAGAAAAGCAGAGGATTTTTGGTCGGTGGATTTCAAAATTCCAAGAGATATTGCAGCAAGGCAGATGCAACAGAGGAACAGATTCAGAATTACTAAATAATTGTTTGGTCGGTTCATTATATTTTAAGGCATTTATTAAAGCATGATGGACCGGTCGAGAGCCCTTTCAAATTACTTATTAGATTGGTTTACGCGCCTACTCGAACCAGTCTATGGCTGTCGAATTAGTTTTTATTTATTTTTATTTTTTGGGGATTGATATCTCAAATTAGTATAAATGTATTTGATTTGCAGTATTGAATATTATTATCAAGAACACAATCAAGTTTTTATTTTTATTTTTTTTATTTAGTATAATTAAATTCAATATATCAAAGATGTCATTTCAATTTAGATTTTTAGAAATCATCATAAATTGTCGACCATGATTTTTTGGATCCAAACTGCTTGATTTCCTTCCCTTTCCGTTGAGCTCTAGAAAAAATTTAACAATTAAGCCACTTGTACAGATGACTTTTACACTTTTGTTGACAGGTGATGCATTTTGACCCTTTATTTAAGCAGACGAAATCCAAATGAATGGTCAAAATGTATGCAATCTCATCATCTATTAAACTTTCTGTCAAACTAATTTTACATGTAGCATAACTAAAAATTTAAAATGTAACATGACATGCGATAGGAAAAGCCAGCCAACCACACTCGAAACACAAACTTGCAAGCATGGTCTTAAAAACAAAATTGAATTGCTTGCTCTCCTTTTTGACTATTATCTTTCAACCATTGTCTTGAACAATTTATACAAATAAAAAAGAGAGTGAGACAAAAAGGGGAAAAAATTTGTTAAACACAGTTGATTTTTTGAAATATTGACTGTCATTGCATTCAACGTTGATAAAACAACAACAATAAAATATAAATAAATAAGTAAATAATAATAGCTCACGAAAATCACAGAATTGTTGCCACCAAATATTCAGTCTAACTTCATCAAATAGTCATTACATTACAAAAACTAAGTCGTGTACGTAGATGTTACAGAAAATTGTACCACCAGTCCAACCTTTGAGTCCTTTATACTTAATCCCCAAACTTTTTTTCTTGGCATGCTTATTCTTACTTTTATTTATTGGAGGCTATTATTGGTAGGTGTAGATTATGGCCTCCTTTACGGTGGTAATTTTTGACCTTAAGGGTAATTGAGGACTCTCCTTCATCCAACCTCTATAACTAACCGGGAATGATAACTAATCTAATTGGTGTCTCTTCTCGTATCCCACACCCAACCTCATAGCTAATCGGGGATGGTTGGGTACGAGCATTCACCTTATCCTAAGAGACTTCTACTTCCATATAGTTTTCCTTATCCAATAAAGACTAATCCTTCACAATTAGGGTAATAACTTAATTAAGAGTCTTAAAGGGACACAACTCATAGGCTTTTGTGCCGGGCCATGATCCTTCCATCCCAATCCTATTGACAACCTGCCACCCTAAATACTATATATACAGGCCCCTCTAGGCCCCCAAGGCATAATTCAATGGAATAAAGGACAGAAATGAGATAGTTTCAGTCTTGCTGGCAGTCGCAGTGTGAGGATTCAATTCCTGAAATATGAAATTGAATTTTTTGTGGGTACCAGTGTACGGACAAGCTCTTGTTCCCTGGCCTGTTGGGACATATTTCGCGATTTACCTCTCTCACGATACTCCAGGGGAGAGACGGTAAGGGCCCTCAAGGTTGGGGTTCAACTTTTTACTATATATACAGATACATCAACCTCACAATTTTCTTTAAATCATTGTTTATTTTTTGCTAAAAGATTGTTGCATATATTCTCTCTCCACCTTTACCGACTTAAGCAGTATGCATCGACATGGACACGAGTGTCCGATACTTGTTGGACAAGTCTACTCATGATTTTTCAAAAAAATACCGATAATACACGTCGTCGAAACATTAATTAAATTCTTTAAAATTCTTTATTTATATAATATAAATTTATTTTTATACTTATTATTGATTTTTTTTTTTTTGAAATCTTTTAAATATGAGTACTTATTTGTTATTTACTAATAATTTTGAGTTAAAAATATATAAAAGTTATAGTAAGAAAAAAATGATTATTGTAGAGTGTCCAAAAAGTGTCGGTATCGACACTTGTCGGACACGGACATGCTATCCTAGTTAGATTGTTCGTGCTATAGAGCTTAAGCATCAAAGAGGCTACGAGATCACACTTTTTAGCCTTCGTTTTAGACACTCAGGAGCGCAATTCATGGCCGGTCTCAAACTTAACCTATGCTGCCTACCATGCAACTCTCGTGGAAGTTCCTTCAGTTTCCCCACCACCTCCTATAACTTTGAAAGCGATTGAGCAACATAGATAGCATATCATTGTTATTATGTAAATCCTCGCCTCGTAAACCATGCCTCTTGCTCAAAACTCATCACAGTAGCTATGCTCAATCTCTTCAAAAGTGAGTACAAGCATCGAGTGCTCACTCGTCCATACCACTTTAGGCTTTGTAAATATTGAGCTACCACACGTCCCATACCTTACAATTGATCCAAATTCTATCAACATGACCTCTTCTCAACTCTTGCAAATCATGCAAGGTGGGATTGCAGAAAAATTTACGAAAGAATGCTTGAAGATCAATGGCATACACTATTACTGCCCCCATTTACACCAGAGTTCTTAGCTTATCCTTTGTTAGATAAATACATGTACCCCTACATCAAAGAGTGAAGGAAAAACATGCAAAATCTGTTGTATCAAAAGTGCAATAACTGGTGGAACTACCAAGTTAAGTAATAGACATGCCGCATTAAAATATTACTTCCTAAAATAAGTCCATGTATGACATTAATAATCATACATAGACTTGAGGGATTATTGTTATGCCTAAAAATTAAGTCTCGAGGAGAAGTCCACACCTCAAACCAAGGCTGAAGAAGCCCTGAAGTGAAAGGACAAGAACCAACTTATTGGAGATTGATTGATAAAGGAGGGCTTGATTGGAGATTTGGTCACGGAGGTAGGTGTAGATTAATTTTTTATTTTTATTTTTGTTTGAACTTGAGGATAAAAACCAACTTATTCTTCCTTAAATTCATTTTCATTTAGACGTTTTCATAACAAAAAAGTTTTGCATATAATTTTAGAATACATTCTTATTATTTAGCTTTACATTCTTC